TGTCGGTTTACCGTCCCATCGGATTACGAGAGTGAGGGAATAGAGGGTGCACCTGTGCTTGCGCATACACTTGGGCAGTATAACCTTGTCCTGCGCCGATGGCTTGCCTCCGTTGAGGCAGGCCGCCGTGGCCGAAATTCGGTCTGGAGGACATTATTATTATTATTATTATTCCTCGGAGATGACAACGTATCTGTAGCCTTTGTTTGAAGTTGGTTGCAAGTATCCATGGGTTGCTGAAGCCACTTACTATTAGGAGAACTGTACATTCGTTTGTCAGTTTCATTTTGTAATAAAAAATACAGTAAAAACAGGTTTCTGTAATGATACTGGTATCTTTAAAAAGAATCTGTCTTAAACATACATAGCATAATATGAGGGAATGTAGCTACAGAATAAATATATTTTTCTCTCAAGTCGATTACAAAGACATGACGAAGGTGCTGTGCGGCCCTCTTACATGTAATACTGAGGGCGGACCGAGAGGCGGCGCCCTCCCGTCTTAAACGATGCCTTCACAGTCACTTGTCCGTTTCCGGTCGCACATCCGCCCGCATTCTGTCTTCCGTTTGTTATTTATCAATAATAATATTTCATAGTGAAAATAATCTTATAAAATAGTGATACATATCAATTGATTATTTATGATAAAGTTATTATAATTTATATGATGAAAACAGTGCAATTTCTTTCTCGAAAACAAATCAGTGAAAACTTAGTGTGAGATCAAATAATGAGGTTAGATTTGAAATTGGTGGCGAGCTTAGCGGGAAGTGAGGTGAGGTGCGATGCTGTGGTTGAGAACCAGCGATCATCGCATACACCACTTGTATCCAGGTGACTGTTAAGTAACTGTTACTAAAAGATAACGGTAATGAACTCACATCCTAACTTAAACGTTTGATAATTCTGTCATAACGTACTCTGGTTTGGTGGTTCAGTTTTTGCTAAAGCTCAGCGCTTTGAACCGTCTTAGGAACTTTCTTCCTGTCAAGGTAAAGATGACTCTGGTGCAATCTCTTATTTTTCCCATTACTGACTATGCTGATGCATACTTTCCTGATCTTAATGAGGTTTTCCTCGATAAGCTGAATCGTCTCCTCAATAGCTGTATCCGTTTTATTTTATAATATATATGGTTCGAAGCTAAAGTAAATCTTTGAGATGTAAATTATAAGCAGTTCTCGTATGAAATCAAAATCGAGTCTACAAATTTACGGAATAGTTCCTCCTATTTTCGTAGCATATCATCATCATCATCATCATTACAGCCCTTCACAAGTCCACTGCTGAACATAGGCCTCCCCCAAGTAATGCCACAAAGCACGGTCCTGAGCCACCTGCATCCATCGACTTCCTGCATATCTTACCAGGTCGTCACTCCATCTAGTGGGGGGTCGCCCTACACTACGCCTACCGGTACGAGGCTGCCACTCGAGAACCTTTCTTCCCCATCGGTTATCGGTTCTTCGAGCTATATGGCCGGCCCATTGCCACTTCAGCTTTCTAATCCGTTGGGCTATGTCGGTCACTCTGGTTTTACTGCGGATATCCTTATTTCTGAGTCTATCACGCAGAGAAACTCCGAGCAGAGCCCTCTCCATAGCTCGCTGAGTGACCTTGAGCGTCCTCATACGGCCAGCAGTGAAGGACCACGTCTCTGATCCGTAAGTCATCACTGGCAACACGCACTGGTTGTACACTTTAGTTTTCAGAGATTGAGGTATACCTGACGAGAAGATGTGTCGTAATTTCCCGAACGCTGCCCAGCCGAGTTGAATCCGTCGATTGACCTCTCGGTCGAAGTTGGACTTACCTAGTCGGACTATTTGTCCCAGGTAAACGTACTCGTCAACAACTTCGAGCATAGTGCTCCCAACAACTACCGGCATAGGTGTGACATGGACATTAAACATGATCTTTGTTTTATCCATGTTCATCTTAAGACCTATCCGTTGGGAGGCACTATTGAGGTCATTGAGCATAGTGCTAAGTCCTCCAGCGATTCTGCCATAAGGACTATATCGTCGGCAAATCGAAGGTGAGTGATGTACTCGCCATTGATGTTAATGCCGTATCCTTTCCAGTCCAGTAGCTTGAAAACGTCTTCCAAAGCAGCGGTGAAGAGTTTCGGAGATATAACGTCACCCTGTCTTACACCTCTCTGCAGTTGGATAGGTTTCGAGCTCTGGTTCTGTACTCGGATAGCCATCGTAGCCCTACTGTACAAACACTTCAGCACTTCGATATACCGACAGTCAACTTGGCACCGCTGAAGGGACTGCAGCACCGCCCAAATTTCGACGGAATCAAAGGCTTTCTCATAGTCCACATACGCCAGGCAAAGTGGCAAATTGTACTCTTCAGTCTTCTGTACAATCTGCCGCAGGGTATGTATGTGGTCTATGGTACTGAAGCCTTTTCGGAAACCGGCTTGTTCGGGAGGCTGGAAGTCGTCGAGTCTGCTTGCGAGACGATTCGTAATGACTCTCGAAAACAGCACGTAGCCGCGGCTCAGAAGGGAAATCGGTCTGTAGTTCTTCAAGAGAGCGTTGTCGCCTTTCTTAAAGAACAAGACCACCGCACTTCTGCTCCACGCCTCTGGAGTAGTGCCACCATGGAGGACGGAATTGAAGAGCTTCTGAAGGACTTCAAGTACCGGTGTTCCACCCGCTTTCAGAAGCTCCGCTGTAATTCCATCCTCGCCTGGGGCCCTGCCGTTTTTAAGGTGCTGGAGAGCCATTCTAATCTCGCTTAGACTGACGTTCGGGATATCATCGGAATAGTGTCGGATAAGACTTGCTCTTGGATCGTTACTCACACTTGCGTGTGGCTCCAATGATGATGTGTACAGCTGCCCATAGAACCTCTCAATCTCACTCAAAATCTCAGGTGTCCCGGAAACGATGCTGCCACACTCAGTCTTCAGCTTTGACAGTTGGCTCTTACGGGCAGACAGATCTCTGACAAAGACTTTGGAGCCCTGGTTCCGCTCGATCGCTTCTTTAATACGAGCAGTATTAAAGTTGTGTAAGTCTCGCCGCATGCATTTGGAGATCTGTCTGTTCAGCAGCTAGCATATGCTTCTATCAAAACTATATAACTTGTAACATCATCACTTTATTTTGTAAGGAAGTATTAGTGGGTTTTTTCTTTGTTTTATTTAAATAAACACCAACTATGCACGACATGGCAAGAGAGGGCGATTACCCAGAGTATACATAAGTAAGCTATGGTTATGTAATATGTATACTCATCATCATCATTAAAGCCCTTCACAAGTCCATTGCTGAACATAGGTGTCCTGAGCCACTTGCAACGACCCACTTTCTGCTTTATACTCAACTGAAGGGGCGATTAGTGGACGTCCATTAGGTAATTTCAAGAGCTGATTTTGGCAATTATTCCACACTCCCTTGGTGAGATGGGAGACATGGTTTGACCTCTTCCAGTTCCAAATCTCACGAAAGATTTAAAAAAATGTTTATTTTAATTATAAACACGTTAATTTACGCTTGATTACGTTGGGTTTGTTTGAAAAAAAATCATTGAATTAATTATTTTAATTTGCTTAATCATTTTTATATAATTTGTGGAGTTCGAATAACCGCGATAAATATTAGTGTGAAGGATTTCGCCCTATTTTACTTAATTTAACCCAATTTTCTCGGCATTTTACGATGTTTCTTGCGGATAAAAATTACGTGATATTTACCGAGAGCCTCTATCTCCCCCACGTGAAATTGGGTGAGATTCCGTTCGACACCTTACCCCCCTAAACACCTCACGTAATTAACGGATCTTATAACTCACTGGTCATCAAACAATGTTAGATGCTAATAAATTTTTTATAGTATAAGTTTGACAAACGAGCACACAGTCCACCTGATGCTAAGTGGATGCTGTGGTCCATAGTCATCTACATTTATCTATCAAGTATTAATCAAAAAGCAGATACATTTTCACCCGCGAGAACTAAGATACGGAAACGAGGTATTCGTTTCCAGTAAAAAGGGTCTCCGGTTCTCTACACTCACCATATGAAACAGCAGCAATAAGCTGCTATTTTACGCTGATATTCTGTGAGAGCGTGGTACTACCTCGGTCGAGCCGACCAATTCGTGCTACAACCATGATATAGCGGAAGTCTGGTTCTATCACGTTTAAAATAAAATAATTATTAGCAAGTCATACTATAATTTCATTACGTGAAATATCGGCGACCTGTCTTTTACGAGTATACTCTACAATACCAAGTAGTACTGTTATTTATTCTGTGACCATACCAATATTCTCTCTCTTAACAGTTGTAAGTGACTACTACGTGAAAGGCTTAAACGGAGAGGCTTCAAAGACTTCACGACCACACTAGGAAAATCTGTATCGTGGGGTGTTTGACAAATACGTAACGTTTTTTTTTAGGATTCAATACCCGCTGCGCTGACCGCAGCACCTTAGCAGGAACGCCATTGCGCTTTCGAGCCGTCATAACAATTTTATTTGTATTTTTAGAGATTTAAATAAAACGATTTCACTTCTCACTAAAGTGATTACAGTCTAGAAAAGTCCTACTGCTGGTGCCGGCTTTATTATATATTACTTCTGTGATTTTGTAGACCTTGGAGTCATTTATTCTCCTTACATGCAGGTTTAAACAACTATTATTTGAAGAGCAATAACTATATTAGCGAACTGAAACACTGTCGACGATACGACTCGAGGATGAAAAGATGAATTCTGCGATAGCTAACTACTAATTTAATGATAAAGAGATCACATTAATGTTACTTTTTTCTTCGATTTAAGGTAATTAAAAAAAATTGCTACCACTATGAAAATCAGAATTCATAAACGCATTACAAATCCTGTCTGATAATTATTTTTAGACATGGTTGAAGCGTCGGCTCGTCTTTTGCTAATAGCTTTTCAGTGGTTGAATACTGAAAGTGTAATGTGTGGAATGTGTCTAAACCTTATAATAATCCTTATCTTTTCTTAAGAACCTTACGCATCTCTGAGTAACTGCGCGCGTGCCGGCGGCAGTGGCGGCCAGGTGCAACTGTGGCAGTTCCTGCTGGAAGAGTTGGCGGCCGGCGCGCCGGGCATCTGCTGGGAGGTGAGTAGGTCCACGTCTGTAGAATTTTTATTAAACTTCATTTGGCTATTGCTCGGTATTCCACTTAATCGGATTCGATATTCACTTCTATCATATTCAGTCGAATACCGAATATCTAGGTACTATTCGTCCGAATACGAATACTTCAGTCAGATGAATTGTTGTTGTCAAATAATTGGTGAAATGAAAATATTGATTTAATTTATAGTAATGTAATTTACTTGTAATTACTAAACAAGTCATAGGTATATTATCAACATACGTGTTATAAAAATTAACAAAAATGTATTAGATAAATGTCCATGTAGAATTATCGTAATTAAAATTTAGAAGTGGAAGCAACGCTCTGTATAAACACTACTTTCTTCCCGGCCGAATAATTTTGCCTAGTATTCGAGACTATTCGGCAGGAAGTCTATAGAATAATCGGTATTCGGCATGTGGCCGAATATATTATACGTTTCAAGCCTAATTTTGATGTATTTTAAAACTTATTAAAACTTTTGGGAAATCCGGTCTCCTTATTTCTTTTAAGAAAATGGTACCCTCACACTCGGAATTGCTCCTGTAAAGAGCGTTTACATACATTCAATACATAATATGAACAAACATCCAGACCGAAGTAATTATGTGTAGGTCATACAATTATATTTCATTCGGACGTGATTCAAATCTACGATGTGTCACTGCTTGCCCACTTTTTAAAATGTAGTGTAAAATCTTTGTTATATTCATCGATAGTTATTCATATTATGATTTTTATAGAATATGGGTGAAAAATACAACGTTAGGGTTGTTTGCTCGTTTGATTATTACATATATGAATATTTCGCTCGTATATATTCGAATGCCTTTAAAGTATTATCATAATTATTTTTTTTAAACTAACTATACCTACATGCCTTTTCTTCATTCCTTGTGAACACATCAATTATAGTTCGTCAGGAAGAAATCGCTTTCATAGCGATTAACCACATTGTATACCTTCTTTATATACTTAGGTATCATTTTATTGTTTCAAAGAGTATTCGGGAACATTAAAGAATACCTATATTGATTGATTATTACGAAGAAAAAAATAGTTTCTATGGGCTACGCTGGGCAGCGAAAACGAGTAAATACTATTTCCTAATGTTAATCTTCCAGATTTGGATCTTCATGGTATATTAAAGTTTGTGATGTATCAGGGAGCTCCAGGCGAGGGCGAGTTCCGACTGTCGGACCCCGACGAGGTGGCGCGGCGCTGGGGCCGCCGCAAGCAGAAGCCCAACATGAACTACGACAAGCTGTCGCGCGCCCTGCGCTACTATTACGACAAGAACATCATGACCAAGGTACGCAGTGCGGACGAACTGCTGACCTTCAGCAAAACGTGCTCATCAGGTCGACAAGATCAAGATTTCCACACAAGATTTTATTATTTTTTAACCGACCGACCCAGATATTTTTGGCACACTTTGTAGCCTATATCAATGCCATCTTGATGGATATTAGTATCTACTATAATAGGAGTGACATAGGATTATAGACATAATATTAATATATTGCATCTGTTCTTTTCTCTCTGTCTGCAACTTTTTAACAAGTCGGTATTTCATTAATTATTGTTTTAACCATTAAGCTTGTTTAACAAGCACACAGTCCACCAAATGGGTAGTTGACGTAGTGCCCATAGACACCTACATCTATTTTCGAATAAGAAGATCATAAAATGCATACGCATTGTAATCTCTAAGAACTAAGTTGGAATGCCTCGTTCCCAGTGAAAAATGTTTCCGGTTCTCGCTCTACGCTCATCATACGAAACACTTTCTGTGAGAGCATGGTCCCACCCCGGTCGCCTCGACGCATTCGTGCTACAATTCTTGTAACATAGTTGTAGCGTGGCTCCACCACATATAGAAAAACTTCTATGTCTGGTCTAAACCAGGCTTGTAGTAACTCTAAATGTACAAAAGAGCGTGTTGTAAAGCCACGCTGCAGCTACATTATGCTTGAAACAGGAATGGGTCGGTTTGACTGGGAAAGGATCACGCTGTCACAGAATACCAGCGTAAAATGGCAGCTTAATGCTGCTGTATTTCGTATGGTGAGTGTAGAGAATCGGAGACCCTTCTAACTGGAAAAGAGGAATTCCATTTTAGTCCTCTGGGGCGACAACGCATCTGCATTTTGATTCTTAATCGAGTATAGATGTAGGTGTCTATGGGCCACAGCATCCACTTACCATCCGGTGAACTGTGTGCTTGTGTGTCATACTTGTTGTACAAAAACATGTGGTGGCGCCAGGTGCATGGCAAGCGGTACGCGTACCGGTTCTGCTGGGCGGGGCTGGCGGCGGCCTGCCGCGCGCAGGACGCGCCGCCCTGCTGGCGCTGCCCGCCACCCGCACCCACGCCCGCCCCCGCCCCCCACCCCCGCAGCACTCCAGCCACCGCACGCCACGCCACCAGCGCCCAACCTGCGACCCTCCTGGAACTAGTGCCTTCGAGAACATACTACTGAAAGGTAGTGGGACTTTGTGGGTGCTATAGTTACATACAATGCTGACGAAGTGTAAGAGTTTCCATTATGAGATGAACGATATAATGTAACCTCCACCTAAAACTAGTGCCCTCGAATTTATCCAACTAAAGCGGCGAGGGACTTTGTGGAAGATATACAATTTCTGAGCTGAAGAACTCCAAAACTGTGTCTGTCGAATAAAGTACGTATTCATCAGCAATTCATCCTTGGATAACGGAGCTAAGTATACGTACTTAAAGTAATTTAGTACGTATAACCAGCTGTTGGTATTGTTCGTTGCCCTACATAAAGAGTAAAAGCAAGTGTGAGCTTTTGTATTATGAGATTGATGACATAACTTTACTTTCTGTTAACTGTTGCTTTTCCTATTAGTGTTAAAAATAACAAATTAATACTTTAATATTAATTTGTTAAATTAAAGTATTTAAGTTCTAAGTATTTACGTAGTTAAGTTCTTTTGTTTGGGAATTTTCCAGATAAACAATTTTCCAGAAAAAAGATATGTTAGGCCCTTACATCTCAGGGATCCTGATGCATTAATGCGATGATAGCTTCGCCGCTGTTGTAAATTATGAAATTAACAAATATAATAGCTAGGTAACTCAAAGTTTAGACCAAAGCCTTCTTCTAAAAACTGTATCACAGCTGTGAACCGGCCGGGCGCGCCGCGGCGGGTTACTGCCACGGTAATACGCCACGCAGTAGTATAATTTTCATTTACGACAATCACTGTTTTAGGCAAAAAGAAAATGTTACATAGTTTTATCCGAAATAAATTTCAAATCACGTTGGAAAAGTGCGAACATAAATAATGACAGAGTTTTCAAAGTCATATTAAACAAAATCGGTGTTAGATTATCGGATACAAACATGGAAGTCTTTGGTTCAATTCCAAACAATCACTATAATATAACAAGACCTTTTGACCTTTTGACGACTCCGTGGCGCAGTGACTTAGCAATGAGGCTGCGCTGGGGGTCGCGGGTTCGATTCCCGCACGGAACAAGTATTTGTATGGCCTACAAATAATTGTTCCGGGTCTGGATGTTAGTCCTCGTGCAATTTGTGTTTGTAAACTGCCTCCACGATACAGGAAAAAATTCTAGTGTAGGGGTAACGTTTTAAAATATAGAATAAAAAAGAGTATACATACTTAATTATTTTTATTGCTCTTAATTGATTACCTACCATACGCTTATCGTGAAGAAAGTAGGTATGTGTGAGAAATAAGATATCATTCAAAAACGTATAAGAAATTATCGTATAGTACATATCAAGTCCGAACAAGCCCACTACATTTTTTTTTACCAAAGGCTACAGATACCTTGTCTCCCCTGAGGACTTAGATGGAATGCCTCACAACCTGTGATTGTACTGACACTGCTGTGTCCCTTCAGACCTGGACTCAGCAGTACAAGCATAGATATTTCGCGTTATTAGTTCAACATCCTCTCAAAACCCCTTTCAAATTAGGTGAAAACCTTTGCCCTGTACTTTATTATTAAGATTTATGAATTTACTTTTTTAATATTAAGCGGTTTGTTGTTTGTTCATTTGTAAATAAGGACGGAGTATAAGTTAGAATTTGATATACTTAGTTTTTACTATCATCCTAATTATCATCACAGACCCTCACAAGTCCACTGCTGATCATAGGCCTCCACCAAAAAATGCCACAAAGCAGTCTTGAGCCATCTGCATCCATCGACTTCCTGCATATCTTACCAGGTCGTCTCTCCATCTAGTGAGAGGCTGCCCTACACTTCCATTATCGGTACGAGACTGCCACTCGAGCACCTTTCTTCCACATCGGTTGTCGGTTCTTCGAACTATATAGCCAACCCTTTGCCACTTCAGCTTACTAATCCGTTAGGCTATGTTGGTTACACCGGTTCTACTGCGGATATCCTAATTTTTAAGTCCCTCACGCGGAAAAACCCCGAGCTGATATCCTTTTCATAGCTCGCTGAGCCACCTTGAGCTTTCTCATACGCCTAGCAATGGAGGACCACGTCTCGGATCGTTTCATTTCGTTTCCAAGTTTTGCGGCATATCTGACGAAAAGACGTGTCGTAATCTCCCGAATGCTGCCCAGCCGAGTTGAATCAGTCACTTGACCTCTCTCTTACTATATGTAAGTAAAATTAAATAATCACGACTCTCATTGGTAGCTCAGGGAATAGCTGATGCTGCAAATTTCACAACACGCGAGTAAACTGGGTTCGATCCCCGCCGGCACTCACAAAAGTGTTAATAGCAGTTTTAAGTGCCGATTTACTACATGCTTAGCGATGAAAGGGAACATCGTCTGAGAAATTAAAAAAATACTTCGAAGACATGTGAAGTCTGAGAACACGCAGTGGGCCCTATCGGAAATGTGAGTCCGGGGCCCAACAGTAGGACGTATGTATATAGGCTTTAACTTTACTTTAATAGTTTTTAAGTAAATAATTAGAAGCAGTAACGGTGGGTAAGTTATCCATAAATATAGCTATTAAATACAAAATACCTTATTTGAGTTTCAAAGTTTTATTTTAAAGCTTATTTTCTGTTACTGTTGATTTTAAAATTTTAAACAATAAGCTTAAAGTCTATGTTTTTTTTTCTATAAATGTTAAGTTATTTAGACCAGGGTTACTCAATCTATGCAGTTAGAGCTATTACAGCAAATAGAAAGCTCTATAAAAATTTTTTGAATTACATTACATTAGGTACGTTAGCACATTTCACTTTACTTTGGTAGTCAGTTTCTCTAAAATAAGTCAAAATAGTAAATCTCAACAAATTACGACATAAATTAATTAAGTACCGAGGTGATCATGGCGAATAATTTTCGGCCGAATATTCGGTTTCGTAAAAGTTTTACCGAACTTTCGACCGAATATTCGTATTGGGTGAAATCCATATTCGGCCCATCGCTAGTTAAAACCGACACCTTAACCAGATTCAGAACGGAAACCGTGCCGAAAAGTGGAACCTAATAGAAAAACTCAAACGAAATTTGGAACCAGTTTTCCATTCCGGTCATCAGTAAATTATTAAATCAATTACGTTTTTTTTAGGTACGAAAAACGTTTTTAAACTTTCATTTATATTTTTATTCAATGTAGAGGTAGACTCTGGTGAAATCCAATAGTAGAACATGTTGATAAAAGGATGAGGAACTCTGAAGGCTTAGACAATATGTAGTTATATCTGGAGTTATATTAAGGGTCTTCATAATTTACTTAAATAACAATAAAATTAGTGTTAAGTATGGACATCGACTTCTGTAAGTATTATAGTTAGGATTGTTGCTTAAGTAATAGAATGAAATTAGATTTTAAAGGATTAGATTTTTATTCCAGATTATAATATTGTAAAATTTTTGTTTCTACGTGTTTCTGTGTTTTAATGTAGACATTCATGCCAAGCAATAATTTTAGCTTTGATGGCGTATTTACATACATTGATGTATAATCTACCACCTACCCTTTACTATATTTCAATGTTTACATGCTTATGGTTAAACCACAAACTAACTAGAAATAATCAGTGGTTTAACCTACTTGTTTATGTACGGGTATTCAGATAGATTCAGATAGGCGAGGCGACTAGGCGATAGCGACTGATCGCTATAAGTGCTCGCCATTGTTTTATCTAGACTTGCAACGAGAAATTCTACTTTTTTCTTAGTTTACCGAATACCGAATATCTCGATACTGTTCGGCCGATACAGAATACTTGACTTAGATGTTTTTTGTAGTCACATACTTAATTAGAGAAATAAAAATATTGATTTATTTTATAATGATGTATTTTTATAAACATTAAAGTATTGTCACAGGCACATAATTAACTTCCGTATAAAACAAAAATAACTACCAGATAAATGTCTATGCACTTGAATTATCGTAATTAAAGTAGAAGACTATGGTCCAGAAAGACTATTTTTTCTACATTTTTAAGCAGCAGTTTACTAATTTAACCAACTTCAAAACGGTGGAGATACTCAATTCTACCTATTTATATACTATGCTTTTTATGTGTGTCACCTAGAAGTTTTTTCTAGGTGAACCGATTTTGATTATTCTTTTTTTATTTGAAAGCTGGTGCTTCTTGTACCGTCCCATATAAAAATAAGTTCTGACCAGTAGTTTTTTGAGTTATCCTTAATAATGCGTATTTAATTGACTTCGAATATATTAATGAATTTTTTTATAGAAGAGGGGCGAACGAGCGCGCGGCTCACCTGATAGTAAGTGACTACGGCCGCCCATAAAGAACTGCAACACCAGGGGAATTGATGTTCTCATTTTATTTATATTTATATCGGTTGTACAAATTTTTTAATTATACTTGTTTTATTCTCGTAGACAATCCCATCTTCCGAGATTAGACGCTCTGTACCAAAAACAGTACTACTTCCTTGCCGGCTGAATATTTTTGCCTAATACTCGTATTCGGCTATTCAGCCAGGAAGCCAGCAGGATATTCGGTATTCGGTGTGTGGCCGAATATACTTACTTCTTTGCAAGTTTAGTTTTATCTGAGATTTCTGTTGCATATCTATGGCCGATGTGCACGTTTTGTAAAATCTTAAGTAGATAATAATGTTTTACCTCAGATATTTCTTGTTATTTTAAACATAAAATGTACGTAATGACAAGCACTGTTTATATAATTATTTAACTAGTAAATCGATGTCGGTACATACATAAGGTAAGGGTGCTTACGCTGGAAGCTAAGGTCGTCGGGCGGTTGTGATCGACCGATTGTGGAATTGGTGGTACATAGAAATAGAACGTTCCATTTTGTCATGAAACTTCAACGCGCAATAGCAAGTAGTATGTGTTTGTGCTCTAATTTTTAAAATATGTCAAAAGACAGGCTGAATAAATATTTTTCATTTATATGTGCATGGTTTAAAAAGCATCCCCAGAAGCGGGCTTTAACTAAAGGCATTAAGTATTTTTTCATGAAGCGATGTAAGTTTCATT